TTGAAGGAAACTCATAAGCGGTATGCATCATTTTATGGCTAAAAATTGGATCTGTGAAACGACAACGAAAATAATTTTTTATTTTTTAATATATATTACAAACAATTTCATTTTTTGGAAATCAACAATGCATAAAATACAATTTAGAAAACTCATTTAATTATATGATCAGCAAATAGACTGTGAATTTACAATCATAAATTTGTCTGATATAAAAATGTACAAAAGTTCCAAAAAGATGTTGAGTATCACAATCTTCAATCTTGAAATCAATGACTTTCTTTGATAACTAACTCCAATCAGTCATGAAGTTCGTTCATATGCGCGCTGCATTTGGGCAATAAAAAGTAGCTTCATTGCGTAACACATCCGGTAAACAGATTTCTTTTCTTCCAGTATCTGAAAGTTCTGTTTGGTGAATTAACAGAAAATGATACATAAACAAGATCATTGCTACAGAAGCATGGCTATCATCAAAATATTTATGAGCATATTTACGAGAAATTAGAAAAAATGATGAAAATCTCCTAAAAACTTCTAATGTCAGTATTATCACAAACTGTCATTTTCCTTTTATGTTCTACTACCTTCACTCTTCAAAAAGAACCAGAATTAATATATTCCTTCTCACAAAAAATGAAGTAATTTACAGTAACTTTCGTATATAAATGTTTCGATTTTATTTCTTCAACAAATATTACCAAAAATTCTGCGAACATCAAACACAAAATCGACATTAACAGTATGTCATAACAATTTTAAAAACAAAAATTTTTAGGTAATTTTGGGAAAATCCTTCTTTCATTTCTCTTTAAGGAAATTATGTAATTAGTTTACAGAACTGCTCAAATCTCCTTACATTTCATACCAAACTAATAAAACAAACCACAACTAAAAAATAATTGAAAAACTCCAATCTTGCAAATAAATTACACCAAAAGAAATTAGGTTGTCTTGAAGGACTTCAGTGACAAGAAATATATAATTCTGATTTCCACTAAAAAATTGACCTTCTCAAAGAAATTAAACCTTTCTATTCGCAAAAAAAATGAAAAGTAGCAGTGTCGCTATTCAAACCTGGTGAAAAACCTGATTTTATGAAGAACTTAATAATTCTTTATGAAAGAATCTACGAAATACTAATCATCTTCAATACGGGAAAAACTTCTCAAAATGCAGTTGTACTTTCAAAATTCTAGTTCCTGAACTTAGATATTTTCTGAGCTGTAAGATTTACGGTATATGAAATATAACTGAAGCACCTTATTAAGATACCTATAACGAAAATGCTACATTAATATGAGTGCAATCAAATATTAAAAAGCTAATTTGCTCCTGGTTAAAAAAGCTAATTTTTTTCCCTCACTCATGCTTTACAGGTATTTGTTTATGATTCATATCCTTTAAATTTTTATCTGAATTTTTAAAGGCTGCGCTCATTAAAATTACTGCATAGATAAAATGAAAGTGACCAAAATCAAAAATTGTAGCAGAAGAAAGGGAAATGTCGGCATTAGTATCGACAACATCATAAATGGCAGTTAGTATTGGTTGACTGCAGTAGCAACGAGAAATTGCCTCTCGCTTCGATGCCAAATTACTGTATATAACTTCTATACAATCTTCACTAATGTTGAATTCACGGAGTACTCGACGTCGAATCTTAAATAAGAAAACTATAAAAAACACAAAAATCATGAAATAATGTATTTAGAGATGCATGGAATGAAATAATGACCTGCTCGACTGCCAACTGAATATGATGCGGACAACCACAACAAGATACTTTATTCATTAAATCATCTCTAGCAAGTTCTTTTATTCGCTTTTCAATCTGAAAATTTTAATATTGCATCCATCTTGTTTTAGAAATGCTAAATAATTACTCTTAAATCATCAAAAAACTCATAGAACTGTAGTAAGAAATTAAGAATATAAGTAACCTATCAAACTTAGAAACTGTGAACAAAATTCTAAGGAATGTATCAGAAACTATAAATTTTATAATGGGCGCACTGAGTAAAGTAATAGAAAAAATTACTGCTTTAAAAAAAGTTTTCTTTAAAATAACGAACAACATTGCTGAAGGGTATTAGAAAATGGTTTTAAAAATTTCTAACATCAGATTGCAAACTTTCAGATATGATTTCAGGAAATAAATTTTTGACTAGAAAGTGAGATCTGTCCAAATTTTTTTGTTGCAAAATAGATAAATTTTGTATTATTCCTCCATTTCCGCACAGGCGCTTCAGCTGTTTGTGAGCTTCCTGTAAAAAATCCAGACATGACAAAAAATAAATATGAAAAACTCTCAACATGATAAGCATCTAACCATACTTTTCTGAGGTTTGTGGAAAATAAACAAATTTCTAAATGGTTCCAAGATATAAAAATACAAACTAAAATATATGGCAATAGAAATCGTGGTCCAGCAGCGTGCCGACGAGGTACACTATGATCAAACCAGTGTGCATCGGGATTCACGTCTGGTGATCTACTATCTGGATATTGCTGACCTAATAAGTCCATATCAGGTGATCTATCCAACAAACCTCTTTTGTAAGCAGCATTTAAGCTCTGTAACTTTAGTAATCATTGAAAATGTTTATGAACTACATTTTTTTAAAATACATAAACTACCTTAAAAAATTGTATTTTGAATAAACTCTAGAAAAATAAATAATAAAACAGGAGCATAGGAAAAGAAAACAAGATCCTAGATGGTTACAAATTCTGACCTCATGGAACGGAGGAAGGATGTAATCCACTCGGACAAGAGGCAGTATATTAGCCAATATATTTCTAAGTTCTTCATCATTAAGCTCTGAACGTCTAATGCCTTTTCTGCTAATGCTGTGTGTAGTGTTGGCAATAAGATTTGGTTCTCGTTCTTCCATTCGTCGAACTAATTCGTGCTCACCCCAACGTATAACTGCTTCTAAGATTTTTACCTCTGCGCACTGTAATTATAAAATTATTGTCAGTAATCTTTAAAATGTACTGAACTATTCAAAGTGATAACAATATATAGTTCCAGTACTGTATTTGGTACACTTTTCCCATTTATTCATCTTAAGAGGGAAAATTTTTTTCTTGACTTTTACTACCGTCATTTATAGTCAACGAACATAATTTAAAATGAAACATAAAATGCTAAAAGACAGTGGAAATACTACCTGGACGTAGTCGCTAAGCAAACAGTTTCCAATCAATTCTTCTTCTAGCTCAAACAAAAGGTGTGAAGAAGAAATGCGAGAGAATTCAGAACAAAGAAATATAATACAATGTCGTCGAACGTACAGAGAACCACCAGATTCGCATGCCCAATTCCATAAGCTCCCAACTGTTTCAATCGACATCTGCGAAACGATTATGTCCTCACAGACTTAAAATCGATAACTTTTATCAACGGAAACAAAAGATTTCTTTATTTAAAATCATACGAAAATATCCTAAGAAGTTGTAAGCTTTTAACGGATTAAGAACAGAAGAATATCAAGTGACCTGCTTCGTAATAATCTGCTAGGAAATTGTATAATCATTTTTTAAACTGTATAATCATTCTTTAACCTTGTACTAAATGCAGAAGATTAAGAAATTGAGATATGTGAAATATGTCAATGGCATGACGAAGAGGAGCAATATGACGTTTGCCAGACGCAATGGCTTGTACTTCGCTTAAACTGCTAGCAGACATTTGACATCCTTGAGATATCTGTAAGGTAAAGCATTTGAACTTTCAAACAATCAACTCATGAAAAAAAAATGCTTGCCCATTAAAAAGCTTCAAGTAATTTTCAAAAACATTTAAAAATCCAATTCATGTAATTTAATAACTCATTATTTCTCAACAGTTTAAAATATACTTATCAGAAAGAAAAAATCTGTTACTTTATTCAAATCCAATCGGTCAGTATAGATAGCATCCAGAATGCAATTAGAATAAATACGTGGAAAGAGGTGTTCACTGACAGTAATTTCTAACTTTTCTTTTGAAGAAATTCGCTTTTCTATCAGTGATCGCAAATAACTTGATCGAGCTGCCAAAACTGCAGCAGAACATTGTATTCGATAGTCTTCATTATGACCACAACTTTTTTCCTCCTCTTCATCTGAAATCTGTGCTTATCATATATTAAAAAACTGATTCATAACGTGCTGTAGAGATCAATTATTACTGTTTGCAGAAGTGAAAACTAGGGTACAATCAGATGCATGGCAATTGAAAGCGATAAGATCATCGGAAAGCGACGAACCACAACCATATCTTTAAAATGGTAGATTTTAGCATTACAGTTATTACCAATAACTTTGCTGTTCAACATGTACACAGTTTACTTCTCAATTTTTAAAATAATATTACAAACTGCTAATCGAATATTTATTCAATGAAACCACAATAATAAAATATGATGAGTGGTTGCAACTCCATACACTATATCCATTTAAAAAAAAACTGATTTTAAGCTTAAAATCAAAAAGAACCAAGGAATGAAAAAAAAAAGTCACATAAACAAATTATTTAATAACATAACTAGAAATTTTCAACCAGCTCATGAATGTCATCATTTCGTTAGTAATTTGTACTGATGAACTTTACTTGATAACACTCAGAACTTTCCATTTAAAAAAAAGTTGAGATGCAATTAACCATGACCAAAAAGTGATGGAAAACAATATTTTATAACATTTCTCAAATTTGTAACTGTTTCATCGACAAACAAAACTACTCATTAATTTAGTTCTAAATGTTCTAAAAGACTAACCTTTGTAGAATGGTATTAAACAACATTCTATCATTATCAAGTAATGATTTATCATAATCACCAGTGTAAATGAAATATAACATTGCTTGAAACATGACTGATGAGATACTGTCATCTATAAATGGAACTTCTAGCTTTCCATTATCGACCCGCTGAGTAACCATAGAATCCCAGACATTAGAGAAATGACGACATCGTGCTCGAAGCATAAAAGAATGAACTGCGTATCGGATGTTCTAAAATGAGGCATACTGAAGATAGTAAAAAATGCCTGATATTTTAAGAAAATTAGAAATTTTAATAAGACTACTTCCCACAATTAATGAACAATAATTTAAACTGTTAAGGATCTTTCGTTATGGAGACTTAAACAAATGATATGTGCACTAACTTTCAGATCTAAATGTGTAATTCAACTTTTTTTAGCAGTTGGTGCAGATCTTGGAATTGTAAATACTTTACTGCTTGATTTTCAGAGAATTATAAAAGCTGATAATTTCTCAATTGATATTAAAATTATGATTAACTTTAAATTACCTTATGTATAATAAAACAGTCAGTGACTACTTCGTTCTTCCATGCATTTAGCAAATCAACTGCTAAAAATGATGAGCTCGGTCGAGCTTTCTCGGCCATCAATGTCATTTTCTGCACAGCGTAAGCGCTTTCCATTTCTGTCAGGAATGCTGAAATTTCAGAACTGGTCCAGTGACTGATAAGTGCACGAAAAGCACGCTGATCTTCTCGCGATATCTGCCGACACTGTAATAAGAAGCAAAGAATAAATAGCTTCACAAATGCAATGATAAATTAAAGAGGTCTTTATAATAATTACTACAGATTATATGATTAAAAGGCATATAATCCAGAGCTGTAATTCAAATAAACAAAATCATAGCGAAATCTTCGCTGTAAAAGTGCAAATACAGTAAAAGTTACAGATCAAACGTTTTCATAAATCCATTATTAGCAAAATTTAAAACACAGTGAATGACGCTTGTATCAATAACGTGATTCTACAGCAAACCACTACATAAAATATATGCATTGATATAGTTTTTTTAATGTGAAGTAACCTTTTTCCGCCATCGGATATTTGCCAATTTTTTGACAAACAATTTGCCATTAATATCATTGCATTTCCTTGATGAAGTTGGCGCAATCCAATCAGGAGTAGATTTTTTTCGAACTGTGCTATTCAGTGCACCCATTGCTTCCATATACGTATATTCACAACCATTACATCTAATCAACACTTTTTTTTTGCATCCTTTTTATATTCAGTAGTTTGAGAATTTTCATGAGAAGCAGAGAGATTTTCAATCTTTTATGAGCGTTTGAAAATTAAAACACAGTTACATTTACTGTGTTTAGTTTAGCAAATTTACTGCTTTGAAAAACTATTCCAAATGCAACGGAAAATTCCAAGAAAAATATTAAAAAAAAGTAAAAAAATCGAAAAATTTTTTCACAATTAGCAAATTAACTAAAAACCGTCATTTTACAGGTTTGTATTATATTTGCGAAAACTTGATTGCACTTGAAAGTCTTTACTGAGAAATGGCACATTTCTTTGTGGCATACCAATACAATACTCTTTATACAGTTTTATTATTACTATTGTCGTAATCGCTATCATTATTTTCAAATCACTATTTCTCTCTATTTCTGCTATATTTCAAAAATTTTTTCAAGCATTGCTTGCATCTGTGAACAATGTCTTCAATCTATTATCATTTGCGCAACATTTTTTGCAAAAGTCTTGTCGTTCATTGAAAATTTCTTATTATATCTTTGGAATTCAATAATGCTAATAATAGAATTATAATCAAATATTAAGAAATATTAAAAAATCTTTCTATTTAATTTTTTAATATTATTTAGCAAATACAGGTTAATATCATTTTTTTCATACATTCATGCAAACTAAGAATATTTCTTAATATTTGGTTATAATTCTATTATTAGTATTATTTATTTGAATGTAATTCACAAAATGATATGAATTTTACTTTAGCCATTTATTTCTGCTTTACACATTAGCATTATGTTTACTGCGTAAGCTGTAAGAACAATGAATTGAGGTAGACAAAAGATACACGACATAATGCAACTTTAATCCAAATTGTTACTAATGAAATGAATTGTAGCAGGAAACGTGTGCTAGAAATACATTCTTCCATTATTTCTACATTTATATCTCACTTAGGGATGTAAAATGTGCATTAAATGTGTTCATATAGCCGAAGTATATAAGCAGAAGTAATTCGAATGCTGGTTACGCTGTGAAAAATAAGATCCATTTAATTTATTACATTATTAGCAGAAAAATTATAGAAATAATAATAATAATAATAATAATGACGATAATATTAATAATAGTTTTGTAATGGTAATAATAAAATTATGATTGTTAATAAAAAATTGCAAAATAATAAAATTGTGATAGTTGACTAGAAATTGCGAGTTTCTTTAGTGATTTCTAATAATTTTACTGTAAAATGCGATTTCTGCATTTTAATAAAATTTATCGAGCAAAAATAGAATAGAAGAAAAGTAAAAAAAATGCATGGGACATTGTTTCTGAGACTGTACGAAAAGATTTGTTTTAGTTGCAACTCTGCATTTTTTCTTTATTCATTTTGTTAACTTATCATTTTCCTTCAAGGAAAGATGTAAAATACCAATGTTAATAATTATTATTATTGATTAGTAAATTATTATGTTAATAATAAAATAATGATAATAAATAAGTTGATAACGATAATGATAACAGTAAAACTTTTGCTGATGAATGCGATAGTAACGGTAATAATATAAAGTGATAATAGTGTAATTTTATTCTAATGTATTGTATTTGTAGGTAAAAAACTTTATTTCATGAAATAAAATTCTGAAATGATAGAATGCAAGCAAGCAAAGCTGGTTCAACAAATATTCAAAGTACAAGCACACTTTTCTGGCCATTTTTTACCAGTTTGTTTGTACGAACTGCTATAATTCGCACTATCTTTCTATTTATTTATATGCTAGTTTTATTGAAAAAAAATAAAATAAATTGGGATATTATTTGTATTTCTGCATATTGATAATTTCACTTCCATATATCTATGTATATAGATAGATATATATATGTATATAATTCGTTTTATGACTATTTTGAGTGCAAATTTTATGAATGTAAAGTATATTGAGTTAGTATGTTGTAGATTACATGATATTAATTTTATCTGGACAGGTCACACATTGATATTCTGATAGTTCACATTGTTCCATTGCAAATAGTAGTTTATTTTGGTGGATATAGTAGGCGGAATTGTAAATATCGACGTGAATATTGTTTATGCAGATATTATCTTTCAAAAGTATGAATTTTCTCTATATTATCTTTGAATGATCAGTTTAGGTCTTTATACTTTTTAGAATACAAAGATGACTGTTAATGATTCAATCAAACTTATCGTACCGAAAGTTTGGCAGACAGAAAACCTTTTGTAAGTTCAGTTTTGTTGATGGACTAAGTTCAAGTTAGTGTTGATAATTCTAAATATATATTTACTCTTTTGTATTTTGTTAATTATTTAAAATTTAAACATTCCTAAGATTTAACACTTATTGTGTTTACTATTTTTAACAAAGTAACAGAAATAATAATTTATCGTAGTTTAATTAGTTATTACAAAAATTTGCTAATTTTGTTCGAAATGATTTTCATATTTTGTTTGGTAATTTTATTGTGATAATAGTAGATAATGCATTGAAATGTTCTAGAAACATAGTTTTTGAGTTACTGTAATTAGTTTCTGAGCCAATAATTTTGATCAAGTACCGGTTTTTCTCGTTTGTTTCTTAAAAATTGAACTTTTTTTTTTCATAAATTTTAAATGTGTATTCAAAAAAGTTGTCTGAGAAGCTAAAAGAACAAATAATTTCAGGCAATTATCTGTTTATCTTCTAATATAATGCCGGTATTAGTGTTCTGTAAATGTGGTGTACATGTTAATAGTAATCATCATCATTATCATTATAATTGTAATTGTAATTGTAATTATAATTATAAATATAATCATTATTTGATGTGTGAAATAAGAGTGAAGCAATTTTTAGATGAATTACAATCATTCTTCACATTTTTGAGAGGCATTGAAAAATAGAGTGAAGAAAGTCTTACATTTTTTAGTTGAGTGGAGTTTGTAAAAAAGAATTGTTCCAGGCATTGTAATCGTCTTTTCTACTTTGATAATTCCATATTTAAACAAAAGGCAATTTTTTCAATATCAATAACATTAATAAGTATGTGTGATATTTTAAAAAATATATTTGATCAATTGTCGCCTTTCAAATTTTCACATTTATTTTGCCACTTTTGCATGAATTATTATTGCATTCTGTGTTAAAACTTTCTTACATTTATGTGAAGAAAATTTTTTCTTTTTTTTGAAAGTGAAAAAATTTTAAATATATTTAAATCACTTATCAGTTGTAAAATTGTCATGGAGTAGTTAAGTGATGCTCGCTCATTTTTGTAGTCAAATAAGTCAGAGCAACATAAATGCTGCTGAGACAGGTCCTGTTGTTGTCAATATTAATGTAGCTTGACGGATCAGACGAAAGTTTACTTGCAATATGATGATAACGATGATGATGATGATGATGGTGATGATGATGATGATGATTGTGATGATGATTTTTGATGATGATTTGTGATCTTTTAACGATATAAAGTTGCATTAATAAAAAGTAAAATAAAAAATGGTTGTTGATGGGGGAAATTTTGTGTTTTAGATTAATTACATTAGAAATAGTAATAAAAAAAGTTAGTTGATTAATTCAGGTGACGAATATGCATACTTGCGTTTTGTATCCATTGAATCATAACGTGTGGCATCAACTATTACTAACTAACTAACTAACTACTATTTGTTGTTAGCATTTTTTCACGTAAAATTTTCTTATATAATAGTAGTTCAATTTTATTCAATAATTTCTAACCTGTTTCTTGACATAATACGATGACACACGCATAAATGCTATTGCCAAAGCTAGTTTTCGTTCTTCTTTTTCAACGTATTAAACGATGAAAGAGACAATTCTTCCTTATATCTATCATCATCTATCTATCTATCTATCTGTCTAGTTTAATCCGTTCTTGCTAGAATACTTTTTGCTTATTTTATCTTTTAGACTGGTAGCAAGTATGAAAGTGAGCTGCTCTATTCATAAATTTTATTATAGTTTTTATCAAACATTGTTGAATATTTGCAGCAAATTCAATGAAACAATGAAACAATCGTGAAAGTTTTGCTCAGCAAAGCATAAGAAATAATAATAACAATAGTAATAATAATAATAACAATAATAATAAAATAATAATAATAATAATAATAATAATAACAATTAGACTTGCTTACTGACTAGTCGTCCTTTTTGAGTCGTTAATGGTTCGTTTTCAAACATTTTCTTGCAACAGTGTTTACTTTACTGTGTTGTATGATTGGAGAGACTAAATAAATTGTCCATTTCATTTCTAGCGAATTTTTACATTATTTATTTACGAATTGAATTGATTGCATTATGGGTGATTGGGGATTAGGATCGCTCGCGCTGAAGATTTATTGATGTTTTTCTGAGATGTATGACTTAAGAACAGATTATATCACTCTTTTATCATTATTTTTCACTAATTTTACTTTCGTAAAAGTTCCGTTATTTGTGTGTGCTACTTTTATATGATAAATAGTGTACTGCAACTTTAGTCTGCCATATGATAGCATTCAAATTTTATAAACAAATTTTAGCTTTTGGCGCTCAGTTTAATCAATTTGCATACTTCCTGTATAATTCTCATTATCCTTTTATGCAAAGTTATTAATTAATAAAGAATCGCAAGAAGTTAGCAGTAACATAGAAGCGTATATATGTATATAAATGTATAGTGTGTAAAAATAAATAAATAATGATGTAATGACTTCATTGCTACTGCGAAAATGGAAAATGTTAACATTGTCAAATTTAAATGCTAGACGGAACTTTCATTTCATAAATGTCTTCTTTGTTGATGGTGAAAATTTGAAAACATTGATGAGGTCAGAATTTGAATATGTCACTTTGTAAGAATTATTGCCTTTTCTAAATATTATCAAACAAGTCTATCTTTTCTACATTTAATCGTTTAAATTAACTGATTGAAAAGCGAACTGATCAAATTTACTCTAACAAT